TGTATGATCCGAAAGCGACAATTAGTAGGGTGGAAGCCATGGTCTCCAGGTCTTGTGTCAGATCTCCTCCTCACCACTGCGAGCCGCCACATGTAGTGCAGTACAACCCGTCAGCTTTTCGCGCTGCGCGCAATCCGCACCACGCTGCAGAAGCTCTCGCAGGAGCTTCACTTGGCCTCCAACACAAGCGACTCATTTGACACACGACATCAGCGATGTCCAGCAACCATTGAACCTTGTCTGGCATCCCTGCAACCAAGCTAAATGCAAGCAAAAGCATAAAGAACAGTAACAAGAAGCTACTAGTTACTAAGGAGCAAAGGGCATCGCTACTAGGAGCAAGGACGCTACTAGGGGCTCCTGGCCTTACTAATAGGAGCAAGAAGCTAGTAGGTTGCCCGCCTCGAACGCAAGCTACAACCACTGCTTGTTGGCACCTTTCAGCCATGCGCACGACCTGCAAGGTTTCAAGTAGCACTAAGTAGCCTAAAAACCGTTCGACAAACAGATTGTGATAAATGATGATTAAATGCTCCATGTTTGACCCAAAGGAAGCGGTTCCATCGACCTTGTCACGGATGTCACGGCTCTGAGCCCGACTCGGACCTGCAAGGTGCTACACTCCTCATCGCGATTGAAGGCGACGTGGCCGTCCGTGAGCTCCAAGAGGAAGATTGCTTCCTGTGACATAGAAAGAAGAAGCTACTAGTAACAAAGGGCATCGCTACTAGCAACAAGGACGCTATCAGTGGCTCCTGGCATCGCTACTAGGAGCATTCTTACTACTAGGAACAAGAGGACTCCGCAGCATAGCGCATAGCAGAGCTCTCAAGCAGCTTTCTCCTAAACTGAAAACATAATACCAAATATGAATGTATATAATATTTCAAACATAAACTCTATTGCATTCAGCAAGCCCGAACCGGAATCGAACCGCGAACCGTGGATCGAATCGGAAAGCCCTTACCAGCCGAACCGAAATCAGCCACAAACAAATTGAAACTGAGGACAGCCTGTCTTCTCTGCTCCCGCTGAGCAAACTGTTTGGGTTCGTGTGTTCCAACTCCAAACAAAAGTCATGCTACAGCTGGCACCAAGCCATCTGCGTGCCTAAAATTGCACAAGTAGCTCCGAGAACTCCAGTGTTTGAAAAATTGGTCGCACCACGGCGAAACTTGAGGCCAGTGGAAAACCATGCCAAAGAAGAGACAAGCCGATGGATCATTGAATATCGAAAAACAAAAAACTCGGGCATCGCTACTAGGAGCAAGGACGCTACTGGGGGCGAATTTGGGGACTGATAAGTCGGACATGGCCCGGTTCTGTCGATGTCAAGCAGCTAGTGGACACATCTGGCGCTTCGTGACGGCCAACAAATCGCTGCTTCAACCACGGGCGTCACCACATGGAGCTACGAAGACACGAAAATCAAAGAGGCCTCCAACCTACTAGCGATGCCCTTGCTCCTAGTACGGCCAGGAGCCCCGTTCGTAGCATCCTTGTTTGGCGAAAAGAAATCCAATTCGAAGTCCCGAACCGAACCGGTTCACCTGACGAATCAAAACGAACCGGTTTCGTTCATTCCAAATGTTCTTTTCGCATCAGCTGTGCTCTGATCAGCTCTATCCATCTTGCCTTTCTGTTTGAGAACATAAAAGGTGAAATGCCTGAAGACCTCAAGAAAACAGGGGTCTTGTTTGCAGTAGCAAGGGGTTTTCAAAGAGGCCTAGCTACAAACCTCAAAAGAAAGAAGTAGTGAAGAAAGTGCGTGTGTGTGTGTGTGTGCTTAAAGTGAACCTAGACAGTAACACGTGCTTCCTCGAAAGCTCGAAATCGAGAGTTTGCTGTCCTCATAGAAACCTTCCAACTTACTACCGATGTCCTCCAAGCTAGAAACTACTAGCGGCTGTCCTTGTAGAAACCTTCCAGGACAGCCCACTCCACTGGATTCACCAAGCTCTCCTTGGGACCCTTGGAACTTCCATGCAGGGCTCCAGGCCTCACGAGATCACTTCCCACCGTCGCCGTGTTCGAGGACAAACATTGTCATGTCTTTAGAAAGTCATCTGCACCCACGGGCGCCTTGCTGGCATCCTTGCAGAGTAATAATGTGCCGAAAGTGATGCACCTCACACAGAAATGACAAGGAAGACTTAGAGACAAACGTTGTATGTGACATGGGGTGGTGGAGTCAAAGACACCTTGCTGACCTTGTTTCAATGTGTTTGCACAATGTTCCTCGCAATTAGGTTGGAGGCCATTGCTAGGTTGGAAGGTTGCGATAAGGTGCACCAATTCGACCTCGCCTCGGTTCACCGCGCAACGCATTCTCACGGGGTCAGCGGCTCGGATGCCCTCCATGAGCTCCGCACGGAGCGCCTCAGCGAGCCAGGCGAACGGAAAGAAGAACGAAAGAAGCAGAGAACGAAATGCAAAAAAAGGTCCAAAGGACAAGCAAGCTACGAGTAACAAGGGCATCGCTAGCAAGGGGCATCGCTACTAGCGAGACTCGCTTGGCCACCACACTGCGTGAAGTTTCAAGAGCTGCACCGGGTTTGAGGAGACACGGAAGGGCGTTGCTTCACCTCACATCATCTGCACTCCTTCATACTCCTTCTGTTCTTCTCTCGAACAAGAAAGAAAGGTCCAAAGGTCTTTTCTTTTCTTCTTTGTTTCCTTTCTGACCTTTAGATCTTGCCGGACCTCTCATCGAAAAGCCTTTGTTCAACTCATCTTCGGTGCTGCTCGTGAAGGCTACATGAGTCAGCAAGGCCTTCAACAGGACGGCTTTGAAGTCAAGTCTATCGCACAGTAAAGCGACTTCTCGACTTGTGAGTGGAGGCCATCGCTTCTAGGCTGGAGGCAATCGCTATTGCCATGGCTCTTAGGGTGGAGGGGTTGAAGGCCATCGCTAGTAGGTTGGAGGCCATCGCTCTTAGGTTGGAGGCCATCGCTATTAGGCTGGAGGCCATCGCAATTAGATTGGAGGCCATCGCTAGTAGGTTGGAG